CTAGCCAGAACCCACGGGTTTGGGTCAATATTTGTGCAGCGAATACTGTTGCGTGGCCCTACCATAGTTCCTAAAATCGCAAATGCGTAATGACGTTAACAAACTTCATATTGAAATGTATATTAACCTTTCCTCTCCCAAATCTTTCTTAATAATAATAATTATAAATTACACATGACATAGTTAACCCTACTAAGGGAAGCAGAAGTTAAATTCCCAAACTCTTAATCTGATAACAGTCTCATGTTGCACAATATTAACATAACACTGCATGTAATAAAAGGCAAGTATGAACACCGTCTCTAGCAAATGCTGTATTCCGTATGTAAATGCAAAATGCATTGCCAAACCAAGTCTGATCATGGCCCACTCAGATGAAATCGCTTCCAGAATTATTTGCAATGTTTACTTAACACCCTTTCACGCATGACGAGGTATCGACAAAGCGAAAGTAGGGTGCAACTTACCCTCAATTTAGATATAGCAGGTACGTCAAATGGCTTATCGGCCCGGTAGCGCTTTCAAATCGAACTTAAATAAAAAGGCAGAAAATTCAATGTATGCGAATATTTCAACATATAAAACCTATTTGACATTTAAATTAATACAATCAATTTGATGATTTCTTTGTGTACATTTGCAAGAAAATCCAATTAAATAATACCGTGATAATAATTATGTTCACGCTGGTATTTGATTCCAAACGATTTTAAGTACAGCATTCTTTTAACATTCGTTATTCAAATTAAACATTGCCCAGAACGATTGTCAATTTTGAAGAAACCAACATGATCTATTATTAGTATGATTGCCGTGCTGTTATCGACTCTATAGTTATCCAAGCCTTTTGCACAAATGTAAACAAACAGTAAAAGGAATGAAATGTATACATAGTTACTACGAATGTACCGAAGCTTAAATATAAGCATGTTGTCGAGTACATTCGAGAATAAATTTAAGTAGTACTGTCGTGATAGTACATTCGTGAATAAATTTAAGTAGTACTGTCGTGATAACGATCGGAAGCGGCGACAGTTTATACATTTGAAGAGTAGATTAAAATCTATCGAACGATAAAACCAGATGAGGGAGGCGCTTGCAGCGGATATGAGTAACGTAATTCAATTCTATGTGAATATATCAATCAGCCAAATGTAGGTTTATTGCCGCTTTTCTCACGGAACTAATACATTATCAAAAACTCAAATTGAAAACGATTTCGCCATGTGTCTATGTCGTTAGAAATGAGCAATCGACTACTATTTGAGCAACTCCTTTCCGTCAGCGTTGCTTAGCAATTAACAGTTTTATCATCGAGCATCGACGAGTAATAATAATAATAATAAAAGCAGCTGCCACTCAATAATTCGCATAGTAACGAAAATAATTGGATTTCTTTAGCCGGTCATATGAATGGAAATTGAGCGCTCAACAAAAAAACGTCAGAAGAATGGTCAAGCCCCGATTTCATATTTCGCTACGCGATGACCACCGCTGTCCGCTACATAACGACGACACTATCTTCTTTATACATTATCCTTGCAAGAGGGTCGGGTGTTTCCAAGGGAATTGTATGGCATTAACTGCTAAGCTATAACAATGCAGACGTATCTTCAAGAGGAAACCGGTTCCGTTCCTAAATGGGTCACACGGTTCCAGCTCCCTCGGTTTTTGTTTAGCAACCGCGACATCGCATTTCGACTTGCCGCGAATCCATCCCAGCCATGTATGTATCTCGTTATTACCTTGTACAGTGGAATAATTCGAATTGATTCGGAACGTTAAAAGTAACAAACGCTAATTATTAGAGTAATTAAAGTCTTATTGCCGTTGCTTACTCGTACTTACTTTTCGCTAACATCTGGCCGTATATTCCCCGAGGCGAAAATTTGAACAAACCAATGAAATTGTTCATTACGACGACGACGGTGTGCCAATAAAAAAAAATCAGAGATTGAACTATGTTACGTTTAACGACTACTTATTTATTGCTCACCCATTAAGTCGTCGTTAATCGTCGTCTTAAATGGGTTCCGTGATATTTAAAACATCCATTTAATTTATATACCCAATTAAAGCGTTGCATACTAAGTGTTTACAGAGAAACCGATTTCCCGTTAGTTGTGAGTGTGATCGGTGACAGGGTCAAGAGGGCGAGGCCCTGCCCGGAGCCATCCCGCCACGCGTTTCTATGCTAATCTTGGCGCTCACACATACATGGCTCCCCGACAGCTATTAATGGTTATGGTCGTCGTTTTCACTTAATACCCATATTACCCGTACACTGCACGCACGCTTCATCCGCGGAGCGCGCAACGTTTATGAAACGCACGCCTACGACGTACCTCCGGCCTGGCTCGGAATCCGAACCGAGCTAGTTTGCTGCAACATCTAGCGTGCATTCAATTCAAATAATACGAGCGATTTAGACAACAAACACCGGCCCCGAAAGTGACGATATCCCGGCGCTGGGCCACATAACGGATTTGCATACAAACGCATGCTGCGACGCAGCGCTCACAAATGGGCGCGGAGCCGCGGCATTCGTTATAATTTTGAATGTATGAATGAGAAATAGCAGCGCGTCGCGCTCGGCGCGTGGGACGCGTGCCGACAATGAGCCGAGACATGTCCTGGCCGTCCTTGTCAATGTGAGCCACTTCCAGCCACATCCGTCTATTGTCGTTGTTTGTATTCACGCACTCCCGTACGCGGTGACGAGGATGACAGGCCGAATGAGCGCCTTCGTCACAATCCGCGTCCCGGGCGCCGGCACGGACAAAAGCGTTGTCGCATTGCCTTTGGCAGCTACGCTGGCGGCTATCGACGGACTATTTGACTAGAATAGAGATCTACCCACTCAAATGTGAACGTCGCCTTCGTTTTTATTCCTCATTCAAGTCAGTCCCAAGCTTCACATTTTAAAGGCAGGACTATAACTGACCTTTTATTGAGATGAGAGGAAAAGGAAAACCTACGTCATTCTAGAGTTATATACATAAACATTGTTACAAGTAGCAGATATTTTATTGATAAACTTGAATGCTTGTACACGTTAGTTGGGAAAAAGCTGATACGATTAACGGTTGACATATAACCGAAATTTGTAAATCTACGTAGTTATAATTATTAAGGCAAAATTTTGCAAATTCTTTGTGAGTGCTATTGAAGTATTTTTATATTGTGCTGATGCTTTTCCTTCTTTGTTTTTTTAAAAAGCAAAGTTGTTTTTTAAAAAACAAAGAAGGAAAAGTAAACTGACGGAGGCACATATAAGTAATAATACCTTTTTCCTGCATTAAATTTTAAACGAGAAATATAATTTTTAATTCAGGTGATTTTTTCGATATATTGGTTTCAATAGCTTTACAAACTAATTCCATAGCCTAATACAAAAGAGGAGAATAAAACCTCTAACCTCCGGTGTAGAAATGTCATTCACGTAATTTAATTATTCTCAATATAGAGCGACATTTAAATCTTAACACACTTTTGACGTTACATAAATTAATAAAAAAATACTTTGAAGGAAATCGTGAAAGGTCAACCAGCCTGCAGGGTCAACTTAACATTATGCACTCCATATAATCAGAATGTGACACGGCGTTTGCTCATTTTTGTGTCACCATTCAAAGGATGCTGTTAACAACCTCACTCAAAGAGCGAGCATAATTTGATCGGGGTCGCGTTTCTATGAGAATACCGTTGAATGCGCCAACATTATCTTCCATGAATAGTTTTATATCCTTTATAATTCTGAATAGCGTTGATAAAAATGCAATATTATTTCTTGCATTTATGTCCTTTTTAAAAGTTACAACGGATTTTGCAACTTTTCTGCAACTGGTATCATAAGAGGAACACAGAATTTTATTAACTTAAAGATGAATAAAAATTTAACCGTACATATCAAACATAGTTCAGGATGTTTTAATTCATTACTTTACTCCTCTAATATGTATGTAAAATATCATCATTTTAAAACCAACATCAAAATGTAAGTTTAAATTGCCATATTATACTGATATACATGAAATACCCAAATCGAAGGTATCGGTTGAAATACCGTAAGTCTAATCAATGGCAAAAAATATGGTAATATCGAATGATATATGCGCGAAGTCTTAGGGGAACGAAACGGTCCTCGCAGTTGCGAACTCTTATTTCTTTAATCTCACCATACGTATTCAAATGAGTGCTTATGATTTATTGAGTGGAACATTAACATTTTTATTATTTGTTATTCTTACACCTTTCGTTGGGGCCGGAAGACACGCGGCCTATGTCTCAGTGTACTCATCCGTGAGAGTCGGTAACACAGGGCGCTGAAATCGAACTCGCACAAAAACTACTCAGCGGACACAAAAGGTAACATATTATCATAGTTTACATATAAATTTTACGCGAATTCATTCCGTATTCACTGTGCCTCGAAATTCGACGATTATGATGATAATTGCATCGATACACGAACGCTCGATGTGATGTACGGCCGTGAGAAAACACCGATTGATTTTCGGCAATCGCGCCGCGTTGATTCAACCATTTGTATTGACAGGAGAATATTGTTTGTTGTTTTTTAAATTCGGATATAGCATATCATTATTTTAGCTCGGTGATTTATACTATGATCGTTTATATGAATGAGTAAAAAAATTTCCATGACTTTTTTTAAATTTTCCACACATATTTTTTTACGTGTTACGACCGCTCAGCAACTTCTGCTGTTGCATGAATAGTCAGCTCATCCAGTTAAGTACCCCGACCTCTCAAAATCTTATTGTCTAAATAACTGATCGACGTATTTAGTATCTATACTTTATGCATTTCGTCTGGTGTGTCTGGTGAGTGTAACAAAAAGAAGAAGAAGTGTTGTAGGTGGAATCAGACGGCAACCACTTACCATGTGGTAAATTGCATCTACTTTCATCATGATTTATCACACAAAAAGACCATTGAATGTACACATGGAGTAATTTTGCAATTTGCATGTAACTTACGGCCAGACGTCTATTTTCACATCCTTGTGCAGATTGAGGTGTGCGTCTTGACCCAAAGGCGGCAACTTGTAATATTCGGTGACCAGTGATTGTGGCTGCGCGTCATCCGCCACTCCCAGCACCGCCGATGTGGTCGAGCTGAGTGGGTGCTCACCACTCGAGTAGTACGTGCGCCAAGAGTCACCACTGACCTCCATCATTTCTTTGCGCCTCCTGTTGAAGAGTTCCAAACTGAGTTACAATTGCGCTTTGATTGTGCTATAAGAACGAAAATTATTGCAAGAGTCACATTGTAAAGATGAGGAACCTTATCAGGAAACTATCCCTATTGTTATAGATAACCGCATATGTATCAATGCAATAATAACTTTCTCGTATATTGCCAGCAAAAACTTATTTCAGTACAAGGTAATGCCCATGCAATAAAAAGCTACTGTTGAACGAAGCGTCATTTCCCATTGATTCTATTGAATCAACAGTGTAAACACAGCGTAAAATACTGGTACCAAAAGCTTGTAGTTTTACGACTGGATCGACTACAACGTACAACCAGTTATTAGGCGTGACCATTTTGGTACGGATACTGACCTTTGATGGTACACATCAGCGGTCGTCTGCGCATAGTATGACGCTGTAATACGTACGCTAATTGTTGCGTACACCACAACATGAGTCAGCAGAGCGAGTGTCTGGTTAGTTGAACTGGATAGCCACTGAGTACGGTGGTCAATGTTTTTTGCCGCATTCTAGTATCAAAGCTATGTATCATTGTCGATCGGAATGTTTTTGCCACTAAGCGAGGTCTAATTTGGATGTCAAACTTCCGCGAGAGTGGCGCTACGGCAGGCTACGTCACGAGGCCGGGTCGCCAGGCTCCGCGCAACCTGAATGTAGAACAGGTCCGAACCACTTGCAGAACCGGAAGGATACGAGGCAAATCCCTGCTCCCTCGCCAACCAGTTTAGGTCGTCTGACGTCACACCCAGCGGTATCCGACGATGCAGACAAATAAATAAAAAATGTTGGAAGCACGCGTCGGACGAGTTTGACCGGATCGTAGTTCTACCTGATTCCTGTTCCTTGTTCATACCATGGCAGAATATCACTCATTGTCATAAAGGTTATTAAGCTTTGGGTGAATGAAAAGAATAATTTCTCGCATTTGAACTAATTTGTAATTCAAGATCTAAAGCACTGATCCGCGAACTAATCGATACACATTATTAGAAAGATCAATGCTATTTATAAACCACTTATCTTCAATTGTTTTTCTAAAAACAACAAATTTCTAAGACTAAATAATATACGTTTTACGTGAACAATATTCCTAATAATAACAACGAATCAACGTGTTCTCACATTCATTAAAAGAGATGCTAAGTTATTACGCTATACAAACTTGAAATTGTTACTAATCTGAAGCGGATCGTATCTAGTGGGCCAATTAACATAGGTTATTCAAGAAAGCTCCGCGAGACGTCAAGTAAGAATAGAATATGCGAATTGGTTCAGAAAACTGGAAAAGCCAGCCTTTGGCATTTAACCAGCCGAAGCGTGAGTCATTTGACGAGTTAACTGGCAGCCGGGGAGTGGGGAGGGTGGGGCGGGTGCAGCACGTGAATGAGATTCCGGTAGGTGCGCACGTAAAAATCGTGCAACGAATCTAACAGGTTTGCTGGGGTCCTTGCGAGGCCACCGGGACTGGTCTAACCTGCCCTGTGCGGCTGATCCACGAATTTCCGACCGTTTCCTATCGCGTCGCCTTCGAACCGAAACGTAAACACGAGCCCATGTTTACACTGCACAGCGACTCATTCGATACGTTCGAACGCATTTGGGACGTCGCAATTTATGCAATTGGCCCGGCGAAGAGCTGTCGAGCCTCCATAAATAATTAATCGATTACTCGTTTCTTTATTGTCGATTGTTCGAACGTTTTATGTTTCGTCAGTTGCGCACTCCTTGTCTATTTGTTTGGTGTCGTTTCAATGGTGCGCGATTAGAAAGTATCGCACGCAGCTGTCACGAAGACGTGACGTATTCTAGAGTGGAACGGATGGCTCCGAGCGAAGGGTTGAAGGAGTTACGGCAACGCAAACAAAACATTCGCCACGGCCATTCATGCCGAAACGTTTCTCAGACAAACCGAGTACATGATTTGTATCACGTTCCATATTATACCGTTAAAGCTAGTGAGTTCTTTACTATACTATTAACCGCATATCAACGTCTAATGTGGTGTCCACGTCATTTGGATTACCTAAAAATCCATCAATGTCACTGCCGATCATGTAAGCGGCAATTTGGAACGATTTCGGATGTTTCGTCTGTTCCGAGACGTAATCAGGGGCTCCATCTCGCGAACGACTCATCAAATTCGGTGTACACGAGGATAGAGTCAAAAGATCAATTCCGACGTTGGCTCCACCAGTGACAGTGTAAGACGAAGATATATCTGGGGTCCGGGCAACGCGTCTCGTGCACGATGGCGGCGCGGCGCGCGGAGTGGCGGCGCGTTACGAAAGGCGGCAATCGTCCAGCCCCACGTCCGGTGTCGCGTCCAACTATCGATCATTCGGTTCGTTAATAAATAACACGTTGGCGTCGTCCGCTTATCTCGGCTGTTCGGGCATGTGGAAAAATTCGGTGTAGGTGTCGTAACGGAGCGGCACGCACGTCGCGTAGGGTTGCGTGCGCCCGCCTGGCGCGCTTGTCCCCCGCGGTCGTTGCCTCCCGCCATCGTAGCGTCATTATTAATCTTTTAATTAAAATCACCGGAGGCTATTAATTTGGTTCCACTTGATGTCGACGAATTTTATCTGGAAATTAAACTTTTCCTCTTCGATGAGGCACTTTCCATGCGACCTCGGAGCTCGAAAAGGGTGCAACTTTAAACATAACGACAGGAAAATTCGATTAAAAAAAATTTCTGATGAGTACCGGTATTAGCCATAGATGCTTCTATCGCTACAAAGTGTTCTATAAATTTTACAATGATAATATATATATATATATATATAATCTTAATCTTGTAATATATATATATATATATATATTACAAGATTAAGATGTATTAATTGCTATTGTAATAAAAACCGAATAAAATGACAAACATAACAAGTTTGCTTTGAAAAAGTCGCAACGTTGTACAGAGAATTTTTCAAAATAAAAGTGATTCGTTTCGGTGCCAACCGATGTGGCGTGACGAACTTGAAGTCTTATCCAAAACGGTTCCACCAGTGATCAAATTAAACAATTTGTTTGAGTAAATAAAATTGACATGCAATAAATTGTTATTAAACTTAAAAAAACATTAGCGGCGTGTACTTGTAATGTATTAACCCTCTACTCGTAGTACTTTAAGTAAAATTATTTTAACAATAATAATATAGCGCTTTGATGTTTTTGATGTGCAAAATCGTAAATTGAGATTAAGAAGAATAACTAATTTGGTATTAATGTGTAAACATTTTCAATAAAAATGATATAAAAGTTTCAACACAAACACGGTGTTTAAAAAATAAATACATTTTATATTTATAGATTATAATAACATAAAAGCGCGAAGAGAAATTGGTGGTAATATTCAAATCATTTAGCTTAAACTAACTTACAATACGCTTTGGAGTCACAAGTTACCATTAGTATTAAATTTGTGAGCAGTTATTGTTATTTAATATCGAATTGTACATTAAAACTGAGAAAACTTTCACAAGGATCCGCTTGAACCATCCTACAGCCAATGGAACGTAAGCACATCCGTATCTTCGTATCCATAAATGTGTAAATAGCATTGCGACGCCGAGTTAAATTGAAACCCGCGTTAGAAGGGGAACGAGCCTCACAGCTTCACCTCTCTCACCCGGCAGGTGTAGGTAGGTGCAGGGAAAGTGCAGGGCGCGGCACAAATCTACGCATGTTTTTTCATCACAGATAAGAGAAACTAGTATCCAGCTTCAGTAATGAGTCATTAAGGGCAGTTGACATGAGGCCTCCCGAGTTTTCTGCTGTTTAAATGATGGAAGTACAATTTACTTGCCTGTTTTAACCGCACTATTACTATTACAAAAAATTTCGACTCACTCGGTTAAAACAGACACGAAGATATTTTTTAAGAATTGATTTGTAATCGAACCCATTTTTTGGCGCAAAAAATTGGAAGGGTTTAAAATTAAAAAAAGATATATTTTAATGGAACAATACCGATGATAAAATTACCATAAACTATTAATCTATTTATTTTGTATTCTCACATTAAGGCTAACGATTCGAGAGGGAATGCGGCGTTGCTGCATTTTGTCAATTAAAGAATTCGCAGTCTCGGATTGTGGCCGCTCGACGCACGCTGTTATGGGGCCACAAAAAGCGTACATTCCTCATACCAGTATAAATAAATAAGGGATGAGTACTGCTGCGTGCTACGGGCAAGCAGCACAGAGCAAACTAAGCGAGGTGCATTTTCGACAAACCTCTTTTTGCGCTCTGACGAGGGCCGCATATGCGATGATTCATTTACGGAGTTCTTCGTCGTACAAGTATGGCTAACATTATTACAACTGTTCTCTCGGCAGCATTATGTACGGTCAACAAGAAATGTCTTCTCAGAAATATGCGCCCACGCAGATTAAAGATGGAAACGCAACATGAGCACTAAATAAGTCATGTCTGCAGTCCGTGGAACTAGTAGCGCTCAAATAATATCGAAATTAAATGAAAGTTGCAAACGTTTTCATTTTACTTCAGTCGTATTTAACTCAATTGAAAGACTATAAATAATTAAACGTATAAATTATTTTATTAAAAGTTAAACAAGTATGAGAAACAACATCGAAAAGACAAGAGTATTCTTCAGTAGAGGAAAGTATTGTATTAAAGTATAAGAACTAAATTAAATTTAAAAGAAACTCTTATGATTCTGTTAAACATAAATCGTCGAAGAGGGAAGTTTACTATAAGATTTGACATTTGACATGGATATAAAATTTTAAAAATAGCTACAATAATATCTTTTCAGAATTTATCGATAAAATCGTTTCTTGACCGTTGAGTGACAGCTTATAAGTGTGACACGGGCTGAATGAATACCGTTTAATGCGTTCAGTCGAGTTTATACGAAGTATTCATTGTATTGTAACGTTGAATTGTGAGTCTGGATCTGCTTCGCGGTATAAGGACAAGCGTTGGCCGTTGCCGCAGCCCACGGCCGTGAAAGTGAATAGCAAGTGGCCATACACGTATTCTCTATAGAATTATGATTATTGCGTTTTTTATTACCCTATAAACGTGGAACCGGCGGGCTTTATTTAGTTTTTCGTTCTTAAACAACGGTTACCGTTGTTGGAGTAAAAAGTTTAACTCTAACTTAGTGGCAATACATACGTGTTCGTAGTTTTGTGCGATGTAGGGTAAATTTAAGCGGTACCTGTACTACTAAAGAAGCTGTTCTGTATAATTTGTGTTATTGTCTTTAAACATGTATTTATACTGCTATTATATTTAATATTATAATATTTATAATATAATTATTACACACCTACCCACTTATCTATCATAATCTATCGGTAATCATATTTCATGGGTTAGCTAGTAGAGAACTCTTTTGAGAATTTAGCTCGCCTTTGTACGTTTATGAAAAAATCTTAACTTCGTTTATGATTTAATTTTGTGTACAATAAAGAATAAAAAACAAACTTTCTTGTTGCTTCCTACGGACGAGATATAAGTAGGTTGAGAGATAAATTAAATATTTACAATCATCAAACATTTTTATTACATGTAGGAAACTATATATCAGATAGCGATACATGGAAGAGAAGTCTAAAGTACACAAGTCCGGTTCGGTTTCCGCAATCATAGATTAAATTCGATGTATCCGCGTAATCGGAATATTTTAAAGGCTCTACCCGAAATCGTTCGCATGATTCATCCCTATAAATAATGGAGACGATCCAAAGATACAACGAACATAAGGCCGCCGTTCTACTCGGGCAACAAGAGGCAAAAACCAAAAGCCGTTTATCAATAATCATCGCCACGAATTATCCTGTGCTGCAGCTTCGTAGCAGAAAAACTTCAATTGGTGCTATATTTTTTTTTTTCTGTGTAACATAAATGTTGAAATAATACATTGAGCGGTTATGTTATGCCAATTTTAAACACTTAATTTAAGGCAGGACTTTCATTTTTTCATCAATGTTTAAAAAATTATTTCGATATGTGTCTAGTAATTACGGTTGTTTTTTTGTTATTAAATTGAAGTCAACTTATTGTCACTTAATATAGAATTGTCAAAAGTCAACCTTCATATACGAAATGAAAAAATTCTCAATCGTTTCAAAAATTTAATTACTAAAAACGGAGATGTTATAATAATATTATTTTAAAATAACAAATTTTGCTCGCATTCACATTTGTAAAGGCGGCCTAAAGTACTTGTGAAGAATTATGAGCTTTGAAATGAAAGTATCTTTTCCGTTTGACAGAAATTTCCAATTTGAATGTTCGTGTGTGGTCTACTATTTCTTATGAAGACGTAACTCATGATTTTAGCTGCCCTCATACAGTCTTGTTCTTTAATTTATATTTCGGAATTCAAATAACAATAAAAATTCAATATTGTATCCATCAACAATTCCATTTCGTAAAAAAATATATTTTGGCATCACTTCTTAACATAATAATGTATTGATATCGAAAATCCTCTATAGCCTGAACAGGATGGCATTTCGATGAAAATGTAAATGCTCTCAATTGTGTGCTAAGTGATATACGCATTATAAAGGAAATCTCCACAATGAACCCATGATGGCGATAATTTATATCCTTCATTGAAAAAAGTTTATACGTCTTCCTTGGGAGATATAAAATGTTTTCATCCTTTGGAAAAGAAACAGTAAAACATTGGTACGTTACAGATTTAGTGAATTCGGCTGCTAGCGGTAAATAAGCTTGACGATATAAATTAGGAGCCATGTCGCCTGCGCCGGCGCACAATGGAGCGCTCGCCGCGGCAGACATTGTACCGCGCGAATTGAAACAGGTTGTGGTTGGCAGGTATCTATGCGCCGTGATTTATGACCGATTATGTTACACTCCTGCGACTATAATTAAATCGCGAAGCTATTAGGTATGCCCGAAAGATCTGCGACACTACCCACGGACTGGCCACGCTATGATTTACCGAACTCAGCTGCGATATTGCATTGTTTAACTTAATCATAAAGTACACAAACCCAGAGAAACAACAATAAACTAGTCAGATATGTTTAAGCGTAGCTGTCTATAGGATTTCGTACGAAACTTTTCATCCGCAGCTCCACGAACAATTCAGATGTCAGCTTCGATACGGCGGAATGTTGGTACCGTTAAGTAAACACTACACTTCTGTAATGTACACTTCTGTAATGTACAGTTCTAACAATGACCAAAAGTATGCGCAGCGATTAGCCGATGCCCGCAGAAGTAGACGAGCCAACAACGCATCGAGAAGATATAAATATTTGTTCCCATTAAGATAATTTATCCACTTACCGCCTTATGAAAGATGCTGACGAATGAAAAAGAATTTAATTTACAAACAAGCGAGTTTGCCGGCCGACAGGCGGCGGCGGCGCCTCGCGACATCGCGAATTTTTAATGGTACAAAAATTGCAAGCGGCTCGTCAGCCGGTTGACAATTGTGAGAACCCGATCAATTATCCCGTGCAAATAGTAATTGTCAACAATAAACGCGTTGCGTTT